AGAGAGAGAGAGAGAGAGAGAGAGAGAGAGAGAGAGAAAGAGAGAGGGATGTTGAGAAGGGGAATAAGGAGAAGAGGCCGCGAGGACAGCAATATTTAATTAAGTTCGTATTAATCCATGCACGCTGTTACTCGATCCGTCGTCAGATATGTATTCGATATGGGCCGCAAACACAAATTTTATTTCAAATCGTAATCTGCTAAAGAGAATGTAAATTATTACATGTGCGAAAAAATAAGACATCAAATTATTTTTCGTATCGCAAAATGCATACGGGGCATTTTTAATTGTTCAGTCGTTGACAACTTGACATTGGCGACAGTACCGAGCATTACTGATATAACCACTTATCGAATTACTTTGACGAATTACTATATCCGATATTCTCCATGTTATCCATGTTAATTCAAGTTCATCATCGGTATTTTCGTACTTTGACATTTATACGCAATTGTATTACGCAACTGTACCTTCCCTATCGATAACAGATGTTTGTCCTGTCGGCCCGTCGATCTAACGCGTGATTAAGAGATACTTTGACTTTCACATGAAACCAATTTATTCCGGGATATCGTTGAGAATTTTCCTTGATAATAACGAATCGCTAGTAATTTGGAAACTTACGAGCGCGTATAACCTCTTACTGAGAAAAATGCATGTTGTATGATTGCAGGATGAGTTCCATCCATTTATCGAGGCGCTTCTACCGTTTGTGAAGTCTTTTTCGTACACGTGGTTCAATCTACAAGCCGCCAAAAGACGATATTACAAGAAACACGAAAAGCGAATGAGCTTAGAAGAGGAACGTCAGTGTAAGGAAGAACTTCAGGTGAGAGATTGTGTGAAATTAGCGAGTTGTTCTTTCTATCTTTGTTTTCTTCTGCAATGTTAGTAGTAGTAGTAGTAGTATTATAGAAGAGGGAAAAAATGAGGTACTTGTGTGCAAAAGTTCAATATACACGTTCGTCCATCAACAAGTAATTCTTATTACGAGCACACATTAAGAATTGAATGATTATAAAAATTTAACGAACGATGAACGATGAAATATTCGAGCGAACTCTCTTCTCTATCGGACCGTCGCGTCCATTCAACCGTTGAACGTGCTATCGCGTTGGCAATGCTATCGGCCCGTTGCTTCTCCGCCGTGATTCCCATCCTCCCTTGCGACAGCGTTCGATCAATATTTTAATTTCGCGATGTTGCGGTATTTAGCGGAAGAGCGGCTGGCATTAACCGGTGGCGCATAGACGCTTCTTCCCTCATTTCCCTCGTCAACTATTTCGTCAACTATTAGCGCTACATTTATTAAGTGTCATAAGTAAAGAATCGCTCATATATAAATTGGTAGTTGCAAATCAACACAAATGCGTTCACAAACAAGAGTGAAAAGCACGCTCATTTTTGCGTTGACTCACGCAAGGAAAAACAGTACAAGAGAGCAAATATAAAAATACGAGCTATTGGCTTGAGAGCAAATCATCAAGCAATTATTAAGTGGATAACGTCTTTTTCTACGTTGTATACTTGTCAATCGTCGTGATATTTTAAGTACGACGCGAAATTTTAATATGCGTTCGAGAAAAAGATACGGCAGTGAAAGGACAGCACGGGTAGAAAACAACACGAGAGATGCGAGCCAGACTACGCTCTCGACTGTCTGTCGTTTTCTCTTAATTTCGAGACAGACCGCAGTACGCGATATAGACTGCTTCAATTCGGGTGTAGGGTTGCGAGACCGAGACAAGCGAGTAGTATGAGCAAAAGAGGTAGGAAGTCGGAGCAAAAGAAAAAGAATGTGAGCAATGGGTGGATAGACGGGGATAAACTAGAGTAAGGGAGGGAGTGCGGCGCGGCGGGTCGCGTCGTTTCCCGGCGCTTCCCGGCGCTTCCCGGCATTTCCCGGCATGTCGCTCGTAGCAAGGAGGGATAGTATATGTATGCGAAAAGTGTACGTGTAGCCCGACGGAGGGTGCAAGGGCCTAGAGGAGATAGAGGATCGAGAGAGCCGGCACGGGTGGAGCGGAAGGGTCGCGAAAATCGCGAGAGGAGAGGAAGGAGCGCGGTACCAACACCCACGAGAAGTATCCGAGTGCATACGAACTTTTGGGCAATGGGGATGAGTCGAAAGAGGAGGGATGGCCGGTTTGGGGCGGTCGAAAATGGTGTTGGGGAGGACGTAGACATGTAGCGCATACGCCGTCGCGACGGAGGCTGCGGCTACGCGGCGCCTACCAACCACCATCTATAATCTCTATGCGGATATCGATTTTCTACTCTGTATTTCCTAAATTTATGCAAACTAGCGGTACAGCCTTTCTCTACCCTTTTGTTTGTCGCTCGCATTGTCACTGGCTCGTTAGCCCAACTACTTCTTAGCGCAAACCTTTTCCTCTGCATCCATATACGCCTTACCTACCTACTGATCGTTTGTACTTAAAGAACATCATCGAAGCAATAAGCGAGTTTTCAGTCTTTTTTTCCTTCGCTGCATACTGCGACGTCAACACTCCTTGCATGCGACGCAAAGAACGCGATGTATCAGGACACAATAAGAGTACGGTACGAGAGACTGATGAGAGAGTGAAGACGGTCCTCAACGTACGTGAAATGTACGACGTGATATTCCCATTTTGGCTTTCGGTGATTTGGGGATCTTAAACGCAAGAAAATATCCGGGATCCTTATGGGTTGTAATATTTACAACATTCTATATAGCCCTCGGAATTGCCAATAAAGAAATCGCAGAGACGCTTTGTTCGCGTCATAACGTAGTAAAGTAAAGGGTCGGCAGAGAGATATACATGGTCGCGGGAAGCTTGCCAAATTAATAAATATATTCTCAGTCTATCCCAATTTTCTCCCCCACCCTCTCTCTCTCTCTCTCTCTCTCTCTCTCTCTTCGAATTTTGTTTCTTCTATTCCACGTATGTTACATGGAATAGCGCTACTCGTATAACTGAACGACAACTTACAACTCTGGACAGATGGAGTCTGTAATCTGTCGCTTTGATTTGATATTGACTGGTAACCGCTGTGACAGGTGTCGTCGAATAAGATCTGCAGCGATACAACGAACGTTACAACCAGTTAGACACTCGATATAACAAGTAAACGTTGTAGTTATTATTTCTTCGGCATTGTCACTCAATGCTCGTGGAACAGAGGTGACGGTAAAGCGGAAACAAGGGGATAAAGCACCGTGTGAAATTGTTGACTCGAACGAATTATTCGGCGAGTAAACCGCCGCGCCTTGCGACAACGCGTACGCATGTCACGGTACACGCGCTCTCGGTACAATTCTCGCGGACACGGTTAGAGAACGAAGAGTCGCATTCGGCATACTTGATATCGAGTATACGCAGGATGCACCGTAAGCGCGACGCTTTCTCCAGCGCGGAGTATCGGAGTATCGGAGCAAACCGCGAATGGTGCACGCACCAACTGTGCTCTTATCCGCTTTATTCGCGAGTGCGCGAGGGTGCGTGCAAGAACGTGCTTGACATTTTACTCGCGCGGAAATATCGGAACGTCAACGCGTGACGCGCGCGTGCACATACTCATACACACATGCCTCCCCTCTCCCCACACACAAAGGGAGAGGAGAGAGGGAGGGAGAGAGAGAGAGAGAGAGAGAGAGAGAGAGAGAGAGCGAGAGAGGGAGGGGGAGAGAGAGAGGGGAGAGAGAGAGAGCGAGAG